TTAATTTTTTGATTTTATTATTTTATGACTTCTACTCACCTTTTGAAGGTTTTGCACGAACTGTGGCGCTTTCAGGCACWCACGCTGCCAATATTTCTATAAATTTCGCTTTGTATAAAATTAAGCCACTTTTTGTGCAAACTTTAACTTTGCACAATGTGTTTTTTCAACAGCCACTTCACTTGTAACACTTTGTGTGCTTAAAAAAAGCTGCTTGTGTTGCACTTTCCAATTTTTTATCAAGCACTGTATTTTTATTTTTTTTATGCCATTTGCCGTCGCATTATCAGTTGATTTTTATGTGCGTTTAATTAATTGATTTATGGGATGTAATAATTTTAATTGAGTTGGGTATATGTTTTGTGCAGTGTTTTAAAGTTATTGTTCGTTTTTTTTTTTTTTGTGTGGTATGAAATAGCTACGCAGCAGATTTGCGCATTTTATTGCTATTTAATACGTTTGCAATTTATTTTTTGTATTTTTTGTTATTGTTTTTGTAGCTATTTAACTACAGTTGCTGTACGATTTATTAACTATTAATTWTTGGAATTTTTTTATGGTTGCTTATTACAGTTTACACTTTTAGTAATATTTTTCTGCTTGCTGACGAGTTTCTATGTGTTTTTAGCACTTTTCGAATCAATGTCAGCTTACACCGTTTTTTATATAATTTTAACTGCAAATCAATTGATAAATTAACAGCTTCAAATTTCACTTTACTCCATGCCTTTTATTAAAAATTTCAAGAATTTCAGGTTACTCATACGCCGTATCGCCTTTGTGTGTCTTACTTAGTTTTCTTGTTGCCACTTTTGTTGCTTTTGCTATTTTTGCTGCTTGTGTCCACGTGTCTGCTGCTGTTTATCAGCTTTGCTGGCTGCTTGTTGGCTCCGTCGCTTGTATTCACACAGTTCGCCGCGATAAAGTACTTTTGTAGAAAATTCTTAATTCGCTTTCTCCAAAGAGCGCAAATCGCGTGCGTGTTAAATAAATTTTTTTCTTGTATTTTTGTCTTCGCCGTACTTTTATTGTCACTTTTAGCGTCATATACTTGTAATGCTTGCTTTAGTTGAGCCTTGTTGTGCACTGCGACAAGAGCAAAGCGTCAAGGCGTCGGCAAAATGGCAACAAAATGTCAAGCACGTGTATTTAAATTATTGATTATTAATAATTTTTAATGTTTCGTAARTTTTATACTCGTTTTCATTCAGCTATTACCGCTTATCTGCGTTTTGATTTAATTTTCTTTACGAAGTGCGCCTTAAAGTATGCAATACGTTTTACAAAAAGTTAGTAAGAGCTTATATTTATAATTTTCCAAACTCAGCCACAATTTACACATGTATTTATATATTTTGATGTGTGTGTGTATGTGTGCTAGCGTACTGTTCACAACCGTTCAACTTTAAGCGAGCGAGATCTACTCTCAGTGTAGTTTTGTGTATAAATATCGTTTCGAAAAGTATTAGTTGGTATATTTTTGTTGTTTTTTTATTTTAGCAAATGATATGCTTATATGWAAATATGTTGTATTGTTACCAAAAGTACGGTTGAAATATGCTTATTAATTTTGTAGCCTAATTTTAGGCGTTGTCGCAGCTATAATATTTTAAAATTTTTGTGTTTATATGTAATTGTTGTCTTTTTGTTAGTGGCRTTTAAAAATTTCACATTATTTACATATTTCGAATTTTTTTTAGTATACTTTTAGGTGCTTAAATTATTTAAACACTGCTTAAAGTTTGAAATATTCACTGAAGCTTGTTGCAAATGAGTTTTTCTTTCAAGAATGTCCTTTAAATAAGCCGTATTCTTAAATGTTTGCAATGCCTTTAGCCTTAAAMTATTGTTTTTCAGAAACGTAGCCGAAAAGTGTGCTATTRTTAGAGTTAGTATTATATTGATATAYTTTTTCTGTTATTAATGTTTAATATACCCACAGAAACATGCCTCTCGTACTATTTTATAATCTCCAAATGTTAGTTATGTGAAAAATCCGCATGAAAATTAGTTACATTATTCGAAAGTTCCTTCTTTTATGTATTTTATTCCATGYAATAACTTTAAACCATTATTTCAGCTTCAGTCCTACGCTATTTTTGCTGTGTTAAATATTTCTCAAGCCATTTAGTAAAACACTAGTAACGACTCCAAACTTTTCTTGAGAAATTGTTCTCAAAAGTCTGATATTAGAAATTTGCGCGCAAAAGTATGCAATTAAATTTTATACAAATATTTTCACAAATAACYTTTGAGTTGTAACTAATAAGAGCTCAATTGTCATGTACTTTTTACATAAAACGCCAATATTATCACTTATGCGCCTCTAGGTATGCAATACATTTTGTTCATCATTCAATCATTCAACCAACATTAAATATTTTCACAAGTATTTTCTGCATTGCAACTATAAAGAGTTAAAATTGTATATAGGAAGAAAGTATCTCTGTTTGCGCCTTAATGTAGGCAACATTTTATTTTCAATAAAATCACTTCATTCACGAATCKTTCTTCAGTTGTTACTAATAAGAGCTCAAGTCTTATATAAATTAAATAAAAGCCAGCAACTTTTCTTTGCTCCTGAGGGTATGCAACAGTTTTGGATTTTATAATATTTACACAAWTCGTTCTTCAATTGTTCCTAATAATCGCTTTTTTATATAATCTTAATTAAAATGCCAGTTTCCAACTTATGCGCCTAAAGGTATGACACAGCTCTCGGTTTAATACTATTTCCACAAATCTTTYTTCAATTGGTGCAAATAATAGCTCAATTTTTATATAGTTTTTCCATAAAACGCCTATTTGTGTGCCTGAAGGTATGCAACCGTTTTCGTTTAAATTAAACTTTCTTCTAGAAGATTATKAATAATAAATATTAAATTACAATTTTTGATTCAATTTATTATTTAGCAAGCATTTCCTTGCGCACAAAAGTATGCTACATATTTTGAATTACACCAAAGTTATTGCTGTAGTTGCAGAAGTTATTAGCATTTATTTTTTTAATGCTTAAAATAGTTTAATTTTTTGCCACAAATTATTGCATCTTTACTCAAACTTGCAAAACAAATAAGTTTCCAATGTACAACGCAGCAACTACCGACCGTTAACTTTGCCACACACGCGTGATTTTACGTTGCGCAAGGTCCGGATCGTGCGACTTGAAAAATGCGTATTTCGAATTTGCTTGATTGCGCACAAATGAAAAAATAAGTTTACATTKTCAGCAGATTTTTCAAATAAATTTTTAAATATTTTTTCAAAAATACTCGCACAGTGAAAAACTTCGTCACATTCAAAATATTACAACTATTCTTTTGTGTGTGTGTGTGTGTGGCAAATTGCACTTTATCACTAATACGCTTGCATACGCCGCTGACACTCGCTACTGCAACAGGAAAGTGTCATCCTTTCGTAACCGTAATTCGCGTTAAACTGATCCTTTCAATTCCGAAAAATCGCAATGGCTTTTTACTTTGGCTACATCGGCCAATGCCAACCAACCAGCCGGTCGGGCATAGCCGTGTCGTATCACACCCGGCCCCCCGCCGCACCACACCACACTGCAACGCGCCGACGACCAGCCGGCACACAGCTTGATGTTGTGTTGCCGCTTAGCTTGGCTGTGTGCATCGGTTGAACGAACCTCTCGAACGAGCCCAATGCCTTCGCCGTCAACCGTTGACGACACACACGAAGCGGCCTTCACAATGCATACGAACCAAATAGTCGGCGGCATGCACGATGGAAACGTTGTACAATAACAACAACAATAGCACTATTACATATTGCAACAATAATAAGAATAGCAGTTATAATAAGAATGGCCAAGCGCGCTGCAACAATGGTTGGCAAGCGCCTCGGCCACGATTTTGGCCAACTAGCAGCTTTATTGTGCTCACAACAACAAAAAAAAAAAAAAGGTGTACCAGCTAACAGTGCAACAACATTTCGTGAGTCGTAGTTATATGCTAAAGAAAGCAACTATTCAAAGACAATAACAAATATGTTAGTACAACAACATGCGTGTGGCATGCGTTTTGAGGCGAAGTTGCATATTAGCTCGGTTTGAAGTGGATTGACAGTGAGAAGAACTAAAGCTTTCGTGGTTGTGTCTTACTACAGTTGGAAAAATTACATTTAAAACACACAATTGTTGTTGTTGCTTAGAAAAAAAAATTTTGTGAATAAGAATAAGAATAACAATATGGCATGAAATGTTTATTTTAGTACGAATAACATTATAACAAAATTTTTGTATTAGATTGAGTATGCAGGCAATAAAAAAGCTCACATTGACCCATTGCATACTTTTAAGAGCAAATTTTGTGAACAAAAGTGAAAAACTTATACACGTAGAAATACAAAAATATTGCCTCCTTGCAATAGCAAAAAATTGATTTAAGAAAAATAACAAGAAAGCTAACTTATAAATATTGCATAATTTTAGAAGTAAAATTGAGTTCAGAGAAAGTACACCGAGGTTAAAACCAGAGAAGATAACATAGAAAATGTTTATACTTTTAGGAATATTGTTTTAGAAAACAAATTAGAGGAAAAAACAGCACAGAAGATGACTTAGAAAAATTACATACTTTTGAAGAATTTGTTTTTTAATTTTTTACGAAAACAACTTAGAAATTGTTTCCAAATCTTGCATAACTTTAGGAGCAAGCAAAAATGTTAACTCCATTTTCAGATACCACAATTGTAAATGTACACAGCCTGAAAGTTCTGACTTATTAGCCGAATCAGAATCCAAGCGCTCCAAAGTATGCAATAAAATAAACTTAATAGTTACTAAAATAAATATTTTGGTTCCAATGTTATATAACTTACGTCAATAAGAATATTATCCACCTTTTCTGCTCTTTATGGCAGCGAAATTAATTATTAAAATATACCATAAAAATATTTATTTTGAAAATATATAAAAATTTAAAAACATGCAATCCGCCTAAAACTATGCTTAACTTTTTTACAAGTGTACCACAGCAGCGACTTCAAATGCATTTGGTCAAACATGTCGCATACATTTCGCCTCGAAATTTCGCCGCGTGCARTACACAATTCGCCTTGCAAAAAATCAACAAGTTTGCTGGCAGCGAATTCCATGTGGGAATATAAGTAAACGGATTACCTGGACAGGAGCAAAACTTCCAATTTCGAATATGTGAACACAGCTTTTTGAATCYGAGTTATATTTATGAATATGCGGACACAGATTTTTTAATCCGAAAACTCATTCAAAAGTTTTATTCAATGCTCATTCAAACCGGAATCTTAATCGAAAGTTTGAAGCAAATTAAAAAAGAAAAGCCGCTAAAATGAATTACTTTCRAATTGAAAGCGGTTGTTACCGTTACCGTTTGCAGCCTACATTAAAAAATATT